CTCCCTCTTCAATTTCCTTACAATAATGGACCATCTCATGCGTGAGTAGCTGGTGTTTCAGTACTGGAGATGTACAAGCAGACATCCGCACTCCCACTGTCAGAAAGCAATGTAACATGAAGCAAACACAGTTAATCCTTAAACAAGGTGGGTGTTAGCGGCACTGACCCTCCTCACAGTCTAAAGTCCACAAATAATTTAAAATCAGTTCCCCTTATCCATATCCTCATTCACAGAGTCAACCAACCACAGATTGTGCAGTACTGAGTATCTAGTGTTGAAAAAAATCCAAGTGTAACTGAGTCTGTACAGTTCTCCACATCGTTATTTAAGGGTAAGCTGTGTATCCATCAAAGGAGGCTCTGTCGCTAACTTTGAGATCATGTCAGTGGCAAAACGGTCAGTAAATTCAGAAATGCCTCTGTTGCAATCCTGATCCAACTCAGGGTCTTAGCTTCCTCATGTGTAAAGTTAGGGTGGTGAAAACTAGAGATGCAAATAAAGCACTGAGCAGAGCATACACAGTATTATTACCATCATCAACCCAGGCAGCAACACAGGCTGGACCACTTTTCCCAGCTGTGCCATTGTTTGCTGATTAATAATTAGGACTAGTCACTATCTCCCCCTTCCCTTTTGTAACTGCTTTGAGATATAATTTACATACCACCAATCCATTCTTTTAAAGTGTCTGATTCAGCTGGTTTTTAGTATATTCAGAGTTGAGTGACCATTACCATTATTTATTTCCAGAACATCATCATGATCCCAAAAAGAATGCCATACCCATTAGCAGGAACTTCCTAATACTCTCTTCCCCAGCTTCTGGCAACAACGAATTTATTATCAGTGTCTATGGATTTGCCTATTCTGTACATTATATATAAGTGGAATGATGCTGTATATGGTTTTTCGGTCTGGCTTCTTTCACTTAGCATAATATTTCAAGGTTCATCCAGGTTTTAGCATGCATCAGTACTTCATTCCTTCTTAATGGCTGAACAACAGTCCATTGTATGGATATATCACATTGTGTTGATCCATTCATATGGTGATGGACAACTGGGTTGTTTTCACTTTGGGGTTATTATGAAAAATGCTGCTATGAACATTCATATATAAGCTTTTTTGTGTAAATATATGCTTTCTCTCCTCTTGGATATCTACCTAGGAGTAGTAGAACGGAGTCATATGGTAACTCTGATGAGATGGTTGGATGGCATCACTGACTCAATGGACATGAGTTTGAGCAAACTCAGGGAGATGGTGAGGGACAGAGAAACCTGGCATGCTGCAGTCCATGGGGACGCAAAGAGTCAGACACAACTTAGCAACTGAACAACAACAACAATAGTAACTCTATATTTAACCATTTGAGGAGATGCCAGAATATCTTCCAAAGCAGTGTACTGTTTTACATTATCACAGGCAATGTAGGAGGGTTCCAAGTGTTCCATATTCTTACCAACACTTGTTATTACTTGTCTCTCAGACTAAAGGCATCACAGCGTGTGTGAAGTGTATTGCACTGTGGTTTTGATCTGCATTTCCCTGATGGTTACTGGTGTTCACCATCTTTCAATGTACTACTCAGCCACCTGTACAGTGCTTTTGGAGAAACGTCTGTTCTGATCCTTTGTCCATACTTAAACTGGGGTTTTTATCTTTTTATTCTTGAGCTGTAAGATTTCCTGGTATATTCTAGGTACAAGTCTCTTCTAAAATATATGATTTGCATATATTTTCTCCCAATTTATGAGCTCTCTTTTCATTTTATTGATGGTGACCCTGAAAGCATAACAAGTCTTAATCTAGATGAAGTCAAATTTATCTATTGTCTTCTATTGATGCTTCTGCTTTTGGTGTTACATCTAAGAATCCATTGCTGACTCCAAGGTTATAAAATTTTACTCCTAGAGCTATGTAGTTTTAGCTCTTACACTTACATCCATGATCCATTTAGAGTTAATTTTTGTACATGATGTGAGATAGAGGTCCAAATTCATTCTTTTGCATTTGGATAACCAGTTGTCCCCATGCTGTTGTGGAGGACGCTATTTCTTCCTCTACCAAATTATCTCTGCATTCCTCTCAAGTCCACATTCAGAGCTTTTCATTCCTTGTAGGTATACATCACTATGATCTTGTCAATTTCCCAGCTATCAAGTGTTTTATTACTCTACTTGAACCTGCACATCTTTGAATCCAATCTATGAATCTATCATATATCTACTTTATTTCAGCTTGGCCAATCACTTACATTTAAAAGCACTTATCAAGTACCTACCACCTACCAGGCAGAACTCTAGATTCTCAGATACAATCCCAATGAGGCACCAAGATTCTTGGGGATGATTATAAAATGTATTGTGTTTTCTGACAGAGATGCGGAGAAAGTACCAAAGATGCTGAAAGAATAAAACAAAACAACCATCTCTGTGTTAGAGGTTCTAAAAGGGTCACAATGAGGAGGGGCATTTGAATAGAAGAATGACTGAACTGTCAGACAAAGAAGGGCTCTTGAGTTCTCCAAGAAAAGAGAAATAGTGGGCACAAAAGTATGTAGTTAAGAAAAGGCCAGGGGACATAAATTTAAGGTGGTAGCAATATGGGACAACAGGTATAGGTGATTCTCAAAAAGAGGGCAGTGTTGAAGAATTCATAAACCAAAGAGCTTTAATTTTACTTCTATGCAATGTATATCCAACTCTAGATCTGGACAAGGAAGCTGCATGTAATTGAGGAAAAGGACTGTGGGGTTAAGAAGTAAAATTGTTTTGGATAGTGACAGACTAGTTTTGGGCATTCTTATGTATGTCTAGCCAGGAGGGGGATTTTTCTCTTCTTTTTTTTAAGTGATGCTTTCTCCTCACAACTGAATAACAAAGAGACATTCTGCTTCTTGACAAGTCTAAGATGTTTTATATTTGGCTCCAACCCTCTTCATTTCTTTGAAGTCTGTATATGGTCAGCCTTAAAGAAGATGTTGTACATCTTCTTTGTGCTTCAGGCTCTCAATTTTCTTCACTATAATAATTTCTTTTACTTAGACATTTCACTGTCCAATATTATTAACATTATAATACTTACCACTGAGGATCATTTAACTCTGGGCCCATCTTCTGATCAGAAAGCCCAATCTAAATGAAACTGAACACAAGCCTTACAGGCTGTTTCTTGCGCTTTTTTCTTTTTTTTTTTTTTCTTTTTGGAATATTTCCATCAACTTCATTTTAAATTTTTATTTTAGAGTATTCTTGCTCTTTTTCAATTCAGAATCCAAATTATTCCATTTTTACTATTCTTCCAATATGTCTGAGCACACACTGCCATAATTCTGAATTGAGAAAGTGTCTCACTATACTTCCATCATCAGTTTTATGAAAGTAAGTTTACAGTTCTGCTTTTCCTCTTTCTACTTACATTTTCTATCAAAGTTTTTCAGAATCAGAAATACACCATGGTCTAAAATTCTCTATTTTCCCTAGGAAACCTAATAAATGTTTGGCAGTTAGTAAAGTCACAGCACAGTAACGCCACTAGCAAGAAAAAGCACGTTACAGCTTCCCTCCACTAGAATTTTTAACTGGTATTCCTTAAATGGGCCTTTAGCATAAAAGGAGGTGTTATTTCAACCATCACAATGGTGAGAACTGTACTCTGTTTTCACAGGAATGAAACACTTCCTCAAAATAAATGAGTGGGAGACATAATAGAATTCTACATTCCTTGTTCTTTTCTGTTAATTGACTGGTGACGTGAATGTGATCCATCATCCTGGGTCCTGGTGCAAGGGCCTGCTCTGCCCCCTTTTCTCCTTTCAGTGATCCTTATTTACAAAGACTTGTGTAAAACAAGTCATTTATTTGCAACAGGGCAAAGACAGGCCAATATTCTGCCTACTCAAAAAAAAAAAAAAAAAAATGATGTCAAAAAATGATGTATAAAAAAGTAGAGATGGAAAAAATCAAATTATAGTGGCTAAACTATGGCTTAGAGAGTGAACAAGAGGGTGAATTTTTACATCAGAGAAGGATAAATCTTTGATTCCTGCCTGAACTTCAGCAATTTTCCTATGTAGCTGCCTATTTTTTCACTCTAGCAAAATCATTAAATATATTTTTTACATGCTTCTCTGTCTTTTCAGAGTTTTTGCCAATGAATATAAGATGCCTTCATAATCAGAAAAAAAAAAAGAAAACAAAGGTAAAAAGTGGAGAGAAGACTTGGTTAGTTGGGTATTCAGGGAAGGAAGTAGTGCAGAGAGGAGTTCATATTGTCCTAGAAGAGAGGACAAAAACTCAAGTATACCCAGGCGTACATGTTCCAGACAGTCTGAAGACCTTAAACCTTATCCAGGTATAGGGGTATAGCTTTACCTTTTTTTAAAAATCCTTCCAACATACCTCTGAAATTGCCACTTCTTTTTAAACTACTGTTCTTTTTTTTTTTAACTTAAATAATCCAATTTCAGAGAAATTCAAGTACAAACAGCCAAGTTCTCACATTATATTCATAATTCACCACGACCAAGTTGTGCCACATTACAGAGAAATTAGGACACCAGAACAGAGCCCAGATTCTGTTGACGTTAACTATGTCTCCTTTAATATTTTTGCTAACTGAATCTACACTTCCCTCCCAACTAGCAAATCAGGGTACAGTGGAAGGAAGTCTCTAAGGCAGTAGACTTTATGAAGAAACCACCATCAGATGGTCGAGGGTGAAACCCACCCTGATGGAAGGAGGCCTCCTAACCCTACTGTGTTTGCCTCCAACTGACTTTCTGGGAAGTCAAGCAGCAAGAATCATGAAGAGACCACGTGGTGCCCAAGTGCACACACACAAAAAATAAAAAGCCAAAACAAACAAAAACAAAAACATCCCACAACTCTACCACTCTCCTAACTAAATTAATCCCGGGGGGAGTCTTTGAAGCCATATATTCTTTTGAAGTGACAGGGCCAACAGTGGGTAGAGAAGTCTGTTAAATGGTTTACCTGTGAAATATAACCTGGAGGCACATGGATGGGAGGAATGGATCCATTGGGTGACATCATGGGAACTTCAGCAGGTCCTAAAAGAGGAAGGAGTAAGATATTAACAGCTGAAGAAATATACATTATTCAAAACAATCACTGGTATGTTTAAATATTATCAAAACTGAAGAGAATTATTTTGACTATTTTCTCTTCAATAATTGGTATCTCGTGCCTTAAATCCAAAATGGATGAAAAGGAATTCTCCAGTTGCATAAGTCAAGGGCCTGGGAAGGAGGAAAACCGCTATGAATATCTTTATAAAGATTTAATTATTCCCAAAGCCTCAAATTCCATAAACTAAAGCTGCGCAGGTAAGAGTATTCTAACAAAGCAGGGCAAAAATTTTCCTTTCTTGCCTTTAAAAAAATGTACTATTAATACATGCTTAAGCAAGTAACTTTTTAACTGAGTTTACCTCTTCTGCTTTAAAAAAGCTTTGGGTTTAAAATTTTTATTTTGATTATTGTTTCAGCAAGCTACTGTAACACGGCATTAATTTGACATAGAAGAAACCTTTAAAAATACTCCAAACCCACTGAATTTGGCATATCTCTGATAAGGAAGGGGGTAAAAATAGACCATGTTTAAAACTAGGCACTACTACTACTAGGAATACTCATACAAAATTTAATTGGATTATTTCAGAGTAAAGCATTTAATTAACAAAAGGTTAGTTTCAAAATATTAAATGCAACAAATGTTAATGGCATGTCTAAGGCAAATAACGAAAGGCAAGGCGATCATCAATTACCTAAGGCATACTTTGAGTTAAATATTTAATTACAAGGAAACTAACTGTCATAACATCAAAATCAATTTCTGACACCCTTCCAGAGATTCTGTGACTAAATAGTTTCCCTGGAAGAGTACGACCTCAGGTTACAGGCTTTCAGTTTGATAGGTGGCTCCCCTATTTAGCAACCCTCATCCCAAACGTCAATCCAAAGCCATGCTTAGAGTCTGAGATGTGACTTCCGGGCTCCAAGTGCCCTGTGTTGTTTATTTGCTTTCTCCTAATGTGTGTTGTGTCACTGGCAATGAAAATTGCCCTGCTGTAACAAAAACAAAAAAAAATACACTTTTCTTTGCAAAAGAAGACAGACCCTGGCACCCAGTGCTGTATTTACGTATAAGCACAATGTACCTTTCACCTCACAGTACAATCCACTGTTAGAACTACTTCTCAGGAAAAGTGTGGAGGAACAGGGATGTCGGGTGCCCATCGAAAGGTCTGCACATATAGGAAAAATATAAAGAAGAAGGGCAGAAAAGATTCCAATATTCATGTAACATCCCGTATGACTTGAGTCACTGCAACTTCAGGTACAACGTGCCAAAGCTCTGAACTATCTATCTGATAATCTAAATACGTACCAAATACACAGCAGTCTCTTACACTGCAAGACACTGGGAATCAGATAAAGCAAAGGATGACAGTGGCATAAGAAAGGATAATTCCATGACCCCAAGGTATTTTTAAGTATGAGTCAAACTAATACATTCATCTATCACCGAAGGCACTTTCCAAATTCATCCTTCTTATCAGCTTTAGCATTTTTGCCATAGCCATTAAGACATTTAGGTATTTATTATATATTTTTATTTTAATTGACTCACTTTAAAAAAATCATAAGCAACTATTTTACCTTTAGCCTGAGTACTATCCTTGAAATACAAGGGTCAATGAACTCAGATCCAACTCTTTGTGACCCCATGGACTGTAGTCCACCAGCCTTCTCTGTCCATGGAATTCTCCAGGCAAGAATAGTGGAGTGGGTTGCCATTTCCTTCTGCAGGGGAAATTCCTGACCCAGGAATTGAACCCGGGTCTCCCGCATTGTAGGCAGATTCTTTACCATCTGAGCCACCACAATTCCTACCTCACAGGACTAGGTTTAAAGATTAAATTCAGTAATTCATTCAAAAGCACTTAGGGCAGTGCATGGCACAATAATCACTCATCAAAATGTTGGCAATCCTTACAATTTCTTCTTTTATTTATAGCTTCTTGTTTTCTCCTGTCCTTTCATTACAATTAGATTTTAAGCACTTTTTTTTTTAAGTGCATGTCCCTGCAACACATAAAATCAACACGCATATACTCTGTACAACACTGACTTAACGGCAATAACTTCCTCATCAGACAAATGTCAAATAGTTGACAGTATGGAGTGTGAACAGAAATGCCACCACCTCAATAAAGTACTACTTTTTAATCACCAAACTGTATACCAGACAAACAGTCTCTTAACCCCAGGCGAGACCCCTAAAACTGTTAAAGTCATTTGTATAAAATGCTTTAAAGAATGTAAGACAAGTCAGTGATTTACAGACAGAAGATGTTTTCTTCCTGGCCTTGATTTCAAAAGTAGCCAAATGACTTTACCATGCTTGTTCCCCCTTCCTCTTGTCACTGTCATCAAAACCCTTTCAAAAAGCATTGCGAAATATACAGTAATGGTTTCTGAAACTCAGCTCTGCCATGGAACCTTAAGATTTCACTCCTTTCTGAAATAAACCATTGCACCCTCAGGCATTCAGGAGTTTAACAGCTAGCAAAATAAAATCCCTTTTCACAGTGGTGGTATGAGAAAAGTCACTGTCTTCCTAAATACCCACCTGCCAATCAATGAGTTTAAGTGCTTCTGCTCAACTGTTTGTGTTTGAGACCCTCCTTATACTATTATAATTATTCCCAATTAAAATACAAACTTCTTCCTAAACTTTTAGAATCACTAGATACCTTTTGATTTTTTAATTGGTGATCTCATGACACAAGATTTCAAGGATATAGTTATGAGAATACAGTGGAAAATGGTTCTCTTCTTATTCAAACCACCAACACAGGATATGTGAGGCAGGGAAAAAAGCCACACAGTCTCCAAACAAACTTCCTCTTTGACTGTATTGGAAAATCATTAATCTATTAAACTTGAAAAAAAAAATTTAATCACTTAAGATATCTCAAACCCTCTTTATTTAAACATTCTTGGCACATAAATGTAAGTCTACACAAATATACACACACATAGATGAAATACTTTGAATCCAAACGTACACCTTCAAAATACTGTCTGAATGGGTTTTTTTTTTTGAGAAACTAATTAAGAAGCTCAGCTAGAGACCACATGAGCTCTTCCACAGACAGATAAAAGATGCCACATGTACAATTTCTAGAACTGGAAGTAGAATGTTAGCTAAAAGTCAAGTAATTCCATGAAGAAATGTCTTGGGAAATTTGATCAATTTCAGCTTTTAGGTTGTGACTTCAACAGTCAAGACCTGCCCTACCCACCCGCGCCTCAGCCCTTTTCATTGAATAAGATGTGACACGCAAATAAGAACTATGATCCATTTATAGTCATTAAAATTTTTAACTGCAATATTCATGTACACGGTCTGACATCTTAAAAGTCTGCTAGCATTTGTTAGTGAATTGATTTTTCATTTACTTATAACAAACTGTGAACAAGAAAGGTTGGAGAATGGCTTAATTATTCACCCAATAGTAATTCATGCAAGGATCCTACAACTTTATCAAAGAGACTGAAGGGAAGTCCAGCAATGTTGTATTTTTAGGGCCACACATAGCTCATGGAGCTATGCCCCCACCAAGGCTGTAAGCCCATTCTACTTCACTTTATGTTTCTTCCCTGCTACTGGTGATCCCACACAGCTTCCACATGGAGATACCCCTGGCTCTGACACTATTAATATACTCAGAATATTCTGTCCTGAGAGAAGAGTTAACTAGATTAACTCTTGACTGGAGGAGGATTTGCAAATGAGGTTCAGACACCTAGAAGTGGTGGAAAATGGGAATCCACAGTATCAATTATCATTAAACCAGTCTCAGAAATAGACCAGCTATAAATAATTAATTATACCACGATTTTGCCGTTTTGAAAATGTATTTTTATGAGCTGAATATTCACCAGTAGGTAAACAACTAATAAATAAATAGAATGTTATTACTGTATTTGTATATAAACTGGTACCTGTGTGTCCAAATGGCTAGTTTCAACAATAGCCATAAGTAGCACTAGATTACATTCTTAGCTTATTAACTTAAATACTATCTTGTTCAAAAAGAATGAAAGAGGGAAAGAGGATCTAAGAGGACTGAAGGCACAGCATAGCAAGATAAAGGAAAACTAATGAGAAATATAAAACAAGGGCAAAACAGGTATGTGATGAAATCCAATAAGCCCTATTAAAAACAAAAACAAAAGACTCCAGATCTTTCCAAAGAGCCAGAAGAGAATTTCATGCTGGCTGAAGTAGTCATAAGGATAAGACCACAGCTAGTAGGTAACCAGATAATTATGGTGAAAGCAATTACCAAGACAAACAGCCTAAATAAAAGTACACTTGCGCTGTTTGCCATGCATGGGTCTAAGACTAAATACAAAATGTGAGGTCCTCTGGTGAATCTTGTGAATGTCCAATAATGAATCTCCACTTATGTATGGTGATTTGAGACATGTAGACAAGTTAACAGATTATGTAGGCACTTTGGGAACATTGTTGTTGTTGTTGTTTAAGTTATTCAACACTAATTAATCCCATATGAGGACTAAAAAGAATAGAGAGATAAAACACAGGTCCTAACCTAAGCTTAAACTCTAGTGCAGTGGTCCTTAAACTTTAGCACACATCAAAATCATCCAGAGGGTTTCCAAAAATCCAGATGACTAAATTCCACTTCCTGTAGTTTCAGAATCAGAAGATATGGGGTGGATCCTAAGAGTCAGAATTTCTAACAAGTTCTCAAGTTGGTTAAAAGACAATAAGCATACACAGCAAACATAACACTCAATGGTGAAAAAATTAAAGGTTTCCCCCTAACATCAGGAACAAGAGAAGGATGCCCACCTTCAAAATCACTATCAACAATGTAACCAGAAGTCCTAGCTAGAACAACTGGGAGTAAAACAAAAAGCATCCAAACTGGAAAGGAAAAAGTAAAACCATGTTCGCAGATGACATTATTCTATATATAGAAAATCCCAAAGATTCCATAGACAAAACACTATTAGATTTTAAAAAAGAGTTCAATAAATTTAGAGGGTACAAGAGCAACACACAAGTCAATTATGTTTCTATGCACCAGAAATGAACAATCTGAAAAGGAAATTAAGAACATAATTCTATTTACAGCAATATCCAAAAGAATAAAATACCTAAGAATAAATTTAAACAGGGAGGTGAATGTCTTCTGCACCTAAATTACAAAACACTGCTGAAAGAAAGTAAAAGACCTGAAGAAGTAGAACCCAAGAACACCTAAACAAAGACATGGAATGGAAGACAGTATTATTAAGATGGCAACACTGTTCAAAGTGATCTACTCTAAGTCAAAGTGATCTACAAAGTCAGTCCCTTCTCCAGAGGATCTTCCCAATCCAGGGATCGAACCCAGGTTCAAGCATTGCAGGCAGATTCTTTACTAGCTGAGCTACCAGGGAAGCCAAGTCAATGTAATCTCTATCAAAATCCAAGTCTTTTTGGCAGAAATGGAAAAGCAAATCCTTAAATTCATATGAAACTACAAGAGGCCTCAAACAGACTAAAAGAATCAACTTGGACTCCTACCTGATATCATATATAAAAGTTAGACCTAAATATAAAAGCTAAAACCATAAACCCTTAGAAGAAAACATGGCTATATTTTCATAATGTTATATTTGGCAATGGATTCTTAGATGTGACACCAAAACTACAAGCAACACAAGAAAAAACAACAAAGAGGACTTCATAATAATTAAAAACCTCGTGCAAAGGACATTAGTAACAAAGTGAAAAGACAACCTATAAGACAGGCAAAACATACTTACAAATTCTGTATCTGATAAGGAACTAGTATCCCAAATACAGAAATAATTCTCACAACTCAACAAAAAGACAGCCCAGCTTTTTAAATGACTAAAGGACTTAAACAGTCATTTTACCAAAGAAGACAGAGCCAACAAATGTGAGAAGATGCTCACCACCTCATTAGTCATTAGGGAAGCAAATCAAAACCACAGTGAGGCACCACTTCAAACTCCTGTAACAGCGATTCTCAGAGAAATGGAAAATAAGTGTTGGTGTGGACGTGGAAAACTGGAACCCTTGCACAACTGCTGGTAGTCGTGTAAAACGGTACAGCTGCTGCGGAAATCGGTCCGGCTCTTCCTCAAAAAGCTGCACAGAAAAGTACTATACGGCCCACCAATGTGATTGAAAACTGAGATTCAAACAAACACACAAAAACAGCAGCACTATTCACAACAGTCAAATGGTACAAACAGCCAAAATGTCCATTTGGGGGAAAATGGGTAAATACAATCTGATATAATACACACATGGGAATATTACTCAGTCATAAAAAGGAATGAAGCACTGATAGATGCTAGAAGGTTGAAAATATTAAACTAAGTAAAAGAAGTAAAAAAAAAAAAAAAAATAGAAGAAGAAGCCAGACACAAAAGGTCACATACTGTGTGATTCCATGTACATAAAATATCCAGAATAAATAAATTAGAGATGAA